ACATTCCGTATCTTGAGGCGAATGTAGTCTTCCATTCGTCTCCTGCCTTGATGCGTATATTATTGTATGCATCTTTGATGTCGAGTTTGGTGAAGTATTTTGCTGACCACAGTCTATCCAGTGCTTCTCCAATCAGGGGTAGTGGATATCGGTCTTTCTTGCTAACCGAATTGAGAGCTCTGTAGTCTACGCAGAGTCTCATTTTTCCATCTTTCTTTTTGACGAATAGTATTGGGGACCCTCCTGATGTGAAAGAGTCCCTGATCCATCCTCGCTTTAAGTTTTGCTCGATGTATTTCCTGAGTTCTTCGAGCTCTAGTTCTCCTAGTGGATATAACTTCTTGTAGGGAATTTCTTTTGTTTTTCCCGTTTTTTCGTCTTTGTCCAACTGAATTTCGTGATTGATTCCTGGCCTTCGAGGTGGTAGCTCAATAGCTTCTTCTTCTTGGAATAGGTTCGTGAATTGATGATATTCCTTTGGAACCAATTCTCTCCATCTCTTTTTGCTTTGATATTTCTTATCCTGGATTGCTAGCTCCGTGCTGATATTGATTTTCGCTAGGACTGCTTTTTCGTTTTCGTATGTCTATTTGAGAATTCCTGTTGTATCTCCTCTCCGATAGTGCCTTCCAAAGGCTTGTGCTGTAATCTCTTTGATCTCGATTCTTTTTATTGTATCGGGCTGGTTTTAGTCCATGCTTCCAAATCCCTCTTCTTCTCTTACGGTTTCTTCCAGTTGATCTACTTCGTGCAGATCCTCATTGTTGATTTCTTCGATTATCAACTGTGCGATTCAATCGCCCTTTTGGACTTGGTAGTCCTCTTGAGCCAGGTTAGTCAGGACCACATTGATTTTACCTGTATAGTCGACGTCAATTAACCTGGCCATAGTCATGAGTCGATGTTTGACTGCTAGACCACTGCGGGGTGCTATTCGTCCATAAGTACCTTCCGGTAGTCCGATGGCTATTCCTGTTGCTATTGTTGCCTGCCCGTTGGCAGGTATCTTGATTCCTTCATTAGTATACAGGTCGTGTCCTGCTGCCCCTTTGGAACCCTTAGTAGGCATTCTTGCCTCTTGGTCCAGTCTTTGTATCCGGACTCTTTTATCTTGCCGCATCTCGGCGAACTTTGCATGCAAAGTTTCTTCTTCCGCTTCTCGTATCGGTATTAAGTAAACCACAGGTGAACTGTTGAGACATTGTGTCGCACATAGTTCGCTTGTAAAGGTCATCTTGTTCTCATTCCAATCAATCATCGGATTATGCTTTCGTAACCATGGCATCCCTAGGACTATCTCATGGTTTTTAAGATCTGCCACCTGAAAGGTTACCGTTTCCCTATGGCTGTCAATGTCCATAGGTACTGTCGCTGTATGGGTTATAGGGCCCATAGCACTTGGCTTTCCATCCACTAGGTAGACTTGTCTCGCTTTCTTTGCATGTTGGATGTGGAGGCCGTATTTGTCGCAGATTTCTTTGTCGATGAAGTCTTCGGTAGCCCCAGAGTCGAGCATTGCATATATTGTTGTTTCTTTGTTTTCTTCGTTGTATATCTTTGTTTTGATCATCACATGATCTCCGTCTTCTTTTCCTCTTTGCGTGTGTAGTGCCGTGTAGTAGTTTGCTAACTTGATGGATTTTCCAAGTCCACATCTTGGGTCTCCTAGACCACCGTTTACTGGGGACCCTCATCGTTTTCTGCCAGTGAATCTTCTGCGATCATTTCACGAATGTTGCTCCTTTTTTGATTTTTCGCATTTGAGCGGTGACTCGTGGCGGTTGCCAGCACGAACTCA